GTGATTAGTGGAGTGGTCGCTATTTACAAGTATCCGTGATTAGTGGAGTGGTCGTTATTTATAAATAGTCGTGATTAGTGGAGTGGTCGTAATTTATAAGTAGTCGTGATTAGTGGAGTGGTCGTAATTTTGAGGTGGTCGTGATTAGTGGAGTGGTCGTAATTTACAAGTATCCGTGATTAGTGAAGTGGTCGTTATTTATAAATAGTCGTGATTAGTGGAGTGGTCGTAATTTATAAGTAGTCGTGATTAGTGGAGTGGTCGTAATTTTGAGGTGGTCGTGATTAGTGGAGTGGTCGTAATTTAGAAGTAGTCTTGATTAGTGGAGTGGTCGTAATTTTGAGGTGGTCTTGATTAGTGGAGTGGTCGTAATTTTGAGGTGGTCGTCAGGTGAGGTTTTGCTATACTTAAGACACACCTATTATCGACAGATATTAAAAATGCGATGTACAAATAGCGAAGAAGAAATTTTTTTTTTCTTCAATTTAAATATGGACAATATGAGTTTATTATGTTATTTACCCGTGTAATTCGCTTCTTTATTGGCGGGTATCTAATTATTGTAGGAGTGGAGACTAATTGAGAAATAGTTATATACCGTACGCATCTACATAGGAAGAATCTTCATCTATCAGGTGATTTGCAGGTTTTAAGGAATTTAATGAAAAAAGGGTCTATTTGAAATTTGTTTTTGTTTATGATTTGGTATTCAAGTGTAACATGAAGAACTCACCAACAACTGCTGCATAAGGTTAAAGTTCTTCTCTGGAGTATAAGCTCCACACCTCAATCATTATCACCAACACAAACAGACATTTGTCTGCAATCATATTAAAAAGAAAATCTTTCCTTTTCCTTGCAGACAATAACACATTTGATAAGTTATTTGTAAAATGAACAATGAATGATGAATAACATTCTGACTTAAATGTACAATTAATCACATGATAATCACAACACTCATATAATTATACTTAATCCTTCCCATCTGCTACAATTGTTTATATACGCTTGTCGTCATTATTCTGAATTACAGTATAGAGTGATATGCTGATGTGAACTGTTATACAACGTACCATATTACTGAATCAACATTGGAAACAAATAACAAGACAATATAAAAAATGGACAATTCATCTTGTTTCACAAGCAAAACTAGAAAACAAGTCACAGTGGGGAAAAAAGTGCCACTGCAGAGAGTCGAACCCAATATCGAGGACGACGTTCTAAAAATAGTCCTTTCCGTTTTCCGTTTTGTGAATTAACAACACCCAAACATGGCGGCGTATCAGGTATATCGTCATCCCGGTACTTAACTTTAAATGAAATAAGTTTGTTTCTTGATTCCATGTCGCTATTTTAGAACCTGAATGCTTCTTATGTGTATTTTGGTCAAGTTTCTTTTTGTATTTTTGAATGTTCCATTGTCCTATGTACTATCTTGCGTATTTAATTAGCTAAGGCTATGTGGATGGTGGAAATCATAGCCAATAACATCCGCGATACGATATTTCGGAAGTTTGAATTTATCTGCTAGATTACAGCACCGAACATATTGAATGTAAGATATATCGTTTGTAATATAAGTATGCAGTTTATGATAAATTTAGGAATAAGTGCATTTTTTTAACGCTGGATACCTTAATATTTGATCGATATAAGCTGAGAAACTAGAAGAGTTTTAACGCAAGTTGTGATGATCTCCCTTTGCACGAAAAAAATCTCACACGGAGTACGGATTTATTAAGAGCGATACCTATGTACTGCATGAAATCAAAGGAAATTTCATGTAATTGTTAGATTGGTACAAAAAGAAATGTACATTGCTAATGATATTTATCAAGAGAAACTTTTTTTTCACTGTTGCTTTAATCAAAAGGAAGACCTGTCAAAAGTTTGGAGACAAAATATTATGTATGGTTTCATATGAATTATTTTATCATATTCATAGACACTTTACAGTTAAATGACATTGGTGCTCAAATACTGAAATCAGTAGATCTGCTCGGCAGGTATGTAGAAGGAGAATAGTAAAATATTGTGTAAGATAATTGTAAGAGAGGTCATTATTCATTTTAATGCCTCTGCTAGGAATCGAACCCGGGACCCCTGGCTTACTAGTCTGACGCTCAACCAATCGAGCTAAAGAGAAGTTCCCTCTAGCCGAGTGGTATATTGCGGCTAGTATTTTACCAGGGTTACATACTCCCCCTCCAGGAAATAACTCGTCCTCGAGTTTCCACGGGTTACAGCGATGCCGATGGGGCATGGCTAAGTAGTAATCCCGGGTCCGCATCGCTGTAACCCCTGGAAACTCGAGGACGAGTTATTTCCTGGAGGGGGAGTATGTAACCCTGGTAAAATACTAGCCGCAATATACCACTCGGCTAGAGAGAACTTCTCTTTAGCTCGATTGGTTGAGCGTCAGACTAGTAAGCCAGGGGTCCCGGGTTCGATTCCTAGCGGAGGCATTTAGATAAAAAATGACCTCTGTTACATAATGTTTTCCCTTACTAATCGTTGACAAGGAAATTCTGTCTTTGAAATTTCGTAATAGATTTGGTTATGAAAACTTCCATTGATGTGTGATTTCGGAAAAGTTGTTCACACAATTTTCTCTTCATGTTTCAATTCAACTGACAAGTATAAACTCTCTTGCTAAAATGTTAAAAGGAGCATTGGTAATCCTTCAGGTTTCTTTTGACTCAAGATCGGGTTTGAACCAATCTGAAATATATACCTCACTTAACCTCAACTACAAAAGGCAGTTGGAAGGGTTCTGGTTATATCTATCTGGTTATATCTATATAAATCACAGCCAGAATCCTTCTGACTACCTATCAACCAGGACCATAAAAGACAAGAAATAGAATTGCAGATAGTCAGAACCTTTCAGACCTTGGAAAGTAGTCTGATCCTTAGTATGACACTTGAGAGCTAAATAGATGCCTGTATCTATATATGCTTCTTGTAAAAATGTATATGTAACAGATAGATATTGGTGATAGGTATATCTAAGATGTTTTAGTAAGTCTTTCCTACATACTGTTCTTTACTGACTGCAAATATTAAATATGTAATTAAGGTGTAGATATAGCTAGCAAAGAATCTCAGCACATAAGCCATCCTCTGTATCTTAGCTGCATGATCATTGTATAGAAATATATGTACTAAACCTCAGACTATATTTGTGTGTAGGGAATAGTACATTTGAACATGTGTTGCCAGTTTTCAATATTATAACCACAACTTACCACTGCACCATTTCAAAACACAAAGGGTTATCATGATCTGGGTACAGGATGGCAACTCTGATCTAGATGTTGATGGCCCTACAGAATTGTCATGAAAATTATTACCTTCAGGAACAATAGCTTGACCATAAAAGGATCACTGAAATTGTGAATCCTGGACAGAATAGTCTCGATAACTAAATTGAACAGAATAGTGGATGGTATATTGTGTTTTAATTCGTGTGTTTGTATTTCTGCAAATAATTCTCATATATGATTGATCAAATGTTGTGTTAAATCATGAATGAATAATTTTAAGTGTTTTCATTCTCTTTTTCTTTCCACTTTTTTCTCCCACGTAAACTGCTTCTCTTTCTTTGTTTGTGATTATGTGATATATAAGCAGAAAAATTCCTCTTTATTTTGCTGAAACAGAAAATCTAGAATGCAGTGAGACAAGAAATCAGAGTCAGCAGTATTATCATTCACTGGAAACCCTCAGGATGTCCATCGTTATGATGTACAGACAATGTCTGGGCATAGAAATAACCAAAAGAGAAATCAAAGGAATATCATCAGCTTTGTTTAAGCTTAGAGAATACTTGGATGTTATTAGAAAATGGAAATTTGAAGCTGGATAGATAACGTGTGCTGAGAAGACATTGTGTCAAGCTAGCTGCATGGGTGAAGCTTTAGTTTCTAGATCTGTCATGGGCCAGGGGCTTTGGGTGGAAAATGCTATATTCTGAAGATGTTTTATTATGCTGTACCTGCTGTAAAGCTATTTTTGTAATGGAACAAAAGAGTTATCACAAATATAAAACAGTTACCCTAGCATTTCAAGTCATGCATGAGTGATCAGGAAAACATACCTAACTTTACTGTTGTTGTGTTTAGTAGTTATTTGAGTTGCAAATTAATTCAGATTGTTATTAAAATTTTGAAACAGAAATATTTGGTTGCTTATGCACAGTATGTGAGAAAAAAAAATGCACCCAAGTGCCCTGCCCTTGAAAGGAGATATCTAGGGGGTTGTCACTCTAGGTACTTTGTCACTTTTCTGAAATCTTGGGAAAATACTGGAAATGATGGGAAAGCAGTAGCTACATTGTACCTACGCAGACCAAGATCAGTTGACAGCCTAAATTCTGTGCACGCATATGCTAATAGATATTGGTGATTGCCGCCATGACAGCCGAGAGAAGTCAAAGTGAATGGTGTATTTATCCGAACAGGTGACATAAATTGGTATGTTATCCGTCACAAAATCTCCTTATTGTGGTATGTTTGTAAAAGTAGACTTAAGCTTGCATGCACAGATATGTACATATATGTAAAATAATTCATAATTGCTTAAATATGTATATCTATATACAGTGCATATATATGATTATATTGTTTAATGTATCTATAGCACATGTTTATATACTACATAAATGATATTGAATTTCTTCTCTCTGATGGTACCCTAAAGCCTGCACATCAATATAATCTGCACTGTAAATATGGTAAATATTGCATGCATTGTGCTTGTGTACTTATGTAGATCTGAATGGGGATGTGCATGTTTCTCCTATAAAGGCTAGGCTTGGTTGAAAGTTTGTATCATTGCATGAATTGTCAAGTTCTACATTCACTGTAGTTGTATCGTAAATCTTAGGAGAGTTTGTTGACATTTCTAGTTACGGTGAAAGTGAACTGCTCCAATATTCAGCTGGTGGAACATCCTGGTACATTAAAGTGAGGTATCGGCTGTATAATTCCTTTATGGAGACCATTCAGACATTCCGAGATTGGTTCTGGTCAGAAAAGTTCTGGCTGCCAGGCAATTTGACATGGGACACATTTGAAAACCCACCTCCTGGTGAATATTATCCCTTGGAGCGACACCTTCTCCTTCCAAGCTTGGCAATAGGAATTTTTCTGATTGGAATTCGCCAAGTGTATGAAAGGTAGGTGTCATGCATTGCTAATTATCCCCTTTTTTTATTCAACCATATACATATAATAAAATAAAATATCAAAGAAAAATGTTGATCCTTATTTTGGTTTGCATCTATAACAAAACTGGCTAGAGTCTATTTGAAGTTACTTTTTTATTGTTGGTACGTTTCTTTTATTTATGTCTCAAGTATTTACATGCACTTACTCTCGTATGAAAATTCAACTCTCATAATGATAAACAACAACAAATTTCTGACTGCAGATATATTTCAATTTACGTATTAATTACAGATAATTCATGACCAAGTCATTTTAGAAATGGCTGCATGCACTTTTGTGTGTATGAAGTAGAATAAGCCTGTGGCATTTATTTGCCCAAGGCAAACACTGTCAATCAAAGTAAACTCTTTGTTGTAAATTGGCTGTTACAAAGACAAGGGAAAGTTGTCTACAGTATATGATATCACAGTATTGAAAAACATTTTATTGCATTGATCTTTTGAGTTGTGTTTGCATGAAGGGACAAATGGGCTAGGTTTTAGAATATTTTATTGTAGACTTTTGATATTGAAGAAAGGAAATTAAGTTTTATAGTTAATAAATTATTGTATTCCAGACTTTTTTATTGTAAAAATCTTAGTAGTTGACATGAGCACTTTACAATCAGAAAAATGACAAATTATGTACGTATTTTATTTTGGCAAAGAATGTGGCTGCATAATGAAACATACATGAAGCAAACCAAAGGTCATAGGAGCCAGCTTACACTGCTACATGTATTTTTAATGCTTATGGTGTTAACCTTTTAGTTAAGACATGCTGACATACCTGTTCAGAAATGCTAATTATGAAAGATTCACTTCATTTTGAATTGCATTATATTACACATACACCAGTAGGTCATCTGGTATGTCTAGAAAGTGACTTCATTCATGTTAAAATTTATTCCAATTAGGTTATATACAAAATTTACATGTATATAAGGACAATTGTGAGTGGCTGGCTTTTAAAAAATAAAATAATGTTACTATATATTGGAAATATTTTAGGTCCAATTTTTGTTTCTCCTAAAATAAGTAATAAAAAAAAAAACCAACAAAAAACATAAGTCCCGTAGGGCCAATTAACCTCAGATTTGAAGATTTATCAAAATTTAACTAATCTTGATCTATAAAAAATACTTTTAGTGATAGTTAAAAAGTGTTTGGGAAATCCAGATCATATTTAAATTGTTGATTTTATAGATTATGTGAATAAAAAAATGAAAATATGTGATTATTTACATAGTCCTCAATATAAACTAGCTTCATGTTGATACTATTGTTGGTTTAGCATGTAGATTAACAATATTGCACTGTTTATATAGAAACAAAGAAAGCTAATTTATCAGACCATCAATTTTGCCTTAATCTGTTGGGCAGACAAACAGTTTGTGCACATCATCCTTTTCCTTATTAATCAATTAATTTACAGATCACAGCGGTTTATCACTAAGCCTTTACTTTGTTTTTTACAAGGTGCTTGGTGGTCCCCTTTGCAAAGTATATGGGTTTAAAGTACAAGAAACACTATGCAGTTGAAGTAAACCCAGCACTGGAAACTCTTTATGTGGCTGTGAAGTTCCCTAAACAAGATCAGATAGAGGTGACTTATCGTATACATGTATGATAAGTAAACATACAATGTAACAGATATATTGAGTGAAATTGATGAGCAATTAGACCTTTGACCTTAGCTGACTTAATCATGTATATTGTTCTTTGAAACAAGGATTAATCAATACATATTTTGCTATTGGGAAAGGGTAGTATTCCACAAGTAGAACATGTTTTAATTCTCCTAAGAATATGAGCATTCTCCCCGTCAAGAAATATAATGAAAACATTAGAAAATTTCCCCAACATAGGAAAAATTTCCCCCAAAAGAGAGCTAAATAGCATATTTTACATATTTTCAAATTATTCAATTATGAAAAATAAATATCAGTCTAACCTCAACACTGTTATATTTTATTCACTTGATCTTCATTTATATATATCATATATTTTTACCCTATACCTCTTTGGAATGCTGACCAAAACAGCTCTTCAAAATTTCTCCATTTCTCAAAAGAGAGATTAAAAATTTCCCTTTTTTTTTCAGTAGGTACATTATAACAAGATGTGTAATTTAAAAATACCATATTTACAATGGATGATATTGATGAATAATTTGACCTGTGACCTTTGGAAACATACATATGACCTTTTGCATAATTGTAAGTTGTAACAAAATATACATTGAAATGCTTTACAATAGTTGAGACTTTTATGAAATTATGTACAATACTAATTAGTTCAAATCACTACACATTCAAAGTTTCTTACTTCATTCACTTGCTTATTTGTCCTAACATCAATAGGAGGTAGCCAAAAAGACAAGTCTTACAGAACGACAGATACAAAGATGGTTCCGACACCGACGCAGTCAAGACATGCCTGGCAGGATGAAAAAGTTCAGGGAATGCAGGTATGACTTAAAGGTTGTCAAACTAGAGATTTTGACTGATTGTTAGTATCATATATATTTGTGGTCAGATGGTGCAATGGTTAGGTACTCCCCTTTCACCTAGATGTCCTTGGTTTGATTCCCTGAATGGAAGTGGGAAGGTACATGTATTATGGGTCACCTGTGTGACCACATTAGTTTTCACAAGGTACTGTAGTTTCCTCCCATATTAAGACTGCTTCTGAGTTTCCATCCATTAGTATGTATAAGTTAGAATAACTTGTTTTGAAATTGTTTTAAAGAAAATAAAGTGTAATTCAATATGCTATAAAATATAATACATATATGTTCGATAATTTTATTGGAATTAAAGAAGTTATGATAATTTTGTACTAATGAATTCTCTTTCAAATTATTAATGCCTGAATTGTATGATAATATCGCTGTACATTAATAATTAATATTTAATTGGTATAAGTATATTGCATACTTTAAGACTTTTACCTTCAACAGACACGAGTGGACTTATTACTGGCATGGGCTTATTGGTTAATTGATGTAGTTATAAATTATTTATTTCATATATTGTAAGTTGTCGTAAAATGTAAATTAATCTTTAAAAATCACTCAATGCGTTTCTTATGTTTGTTATTTTCTTTCACTTTCAGTTGGCATTTTCTATTTTACACCATGAGTTTTTTTGGAGGCCTTTATGTCTTGTGGGATGTAAGTATTCAAGTACTGTTCTGAAGTCATCTAAGCAGTTTGGTCTTGATAATATACTTAACCATTTTATCCGTTGCCGTTTACCATCATTAAATGCTTTCCATTCAAATGCTGCTTCTCCTGAAGGGTCAAGTAAATTTAGTGTGTAAACATATTACTAACGGACACCAAATATTGTAAAAAAATCAACGAGGTTGATTTGACCCATGATGCCAGCTTTGAGGCCCAAAAAATAACACTTATTTAAAATCAAATTTTGCTTTAAAGCACTTCATGCCCAATTGAACTTTAACCAAAACTTTGTCTAAAATATTACAGTATCAGTTCTGCCATTTCTTAAATGAATTTGGTTGTTTTGATCTCTAGAATAAATAGGATGGGGACTCAAAAAAGGAAAAATTTACAAAAAAAAAGTTGCTTTGGAATACCATTTCCTCTAAACACTTGAACGGATTTTAACCAGATTAGGTCAGACATTATTTAGAAGGGCAAATGATAATTTATTTACAGGAAGTTTATTTCTTCATTCTAACAAATGGACAAATACTTTCTGATAAACTTCAGTTGGTTTTATTTGTGTTGCCAAACTACATAAATGGACATGATGTGACATTGTACATTTCATCTATATATCGTGATATCTTGGTGGTTTACTTCCACTGTCCACTCCCTAAAACAAGAAGCATGAAACAGTATCACTAACATAAGTCAATTTCTCTGCACTGTCATTGTGAAGTCCCAGCTTTAGTCTGAATCATCCAGCTTTAGTCTGAATCATCCACACAACTAGATCAGCCATGATAACTCATCATTAGAATTTCTGACCTCATTGGAAGAATCATAACCACAGGTGGACATCCAAGTTATTTAGATTGATGTACAATGTACTTGGGACACTTCGTGTTTTCTAGGAAGTGAAGATTTTAGACAGTATTCAGTGTTGTTGAAGATGTGTCCATGGTCAGGCTGCTTTACCCCAGTTACTTGAGGGGATAGCATGTGGTGGGCCTTCATTAACACCACTGAGGTTGCTTTATTTTATGTTTCAGAAACCATACTTATGGGATTCCAAACATTTTTGGTTAAACTGTGGGCTTCAGGTAAGTTGTATTTAGTGAAAATGTCAATGTACCAGTAGAAATTAAAATAGATAAAAACTAGTTGGTGTACCAGTACTTCAAAATTGTAGAGGCAAGACGAGATATTGCTCTTACGTGAAGACTCTGTGTACCTTTTAAGTGTTTTCCACTTGGGATGGAATTGTTGAAGACTTTATTAGAAAAGGAAAATAGTTGTGTGAAATATTTTCATAAAAAATGTTTGTTGTGCTTTTGATTCGATTTGATCACATATAATTACACATGATTTTAATATGATTACTGCTAAGGAGGTATGACAGATAGAACACAGTAAAAAAAACTGGCAACATTTAGTTTATGGAACATCTGCAAAAACAAGACTTCAAATGAAAATATTGTTTGTTTGGCATTGACCTACATATATCCCTGACTGAAATGATTTTAAGGCAGCGTCCATATTTGTTTATTTTAGTGAACATTTCTTTCTGAATCTCAGGTCACCACTCTCTAGATTATGTATATCATTGTTTTCTATTCAACTATCACATGCTACGTAGTCTTCCCACCTCTGAAATAATGACTATGGTTGGTGACCTTTATCAAACAGATCAGGAATTTCATATTATTTTTCTCATGAAATATTTTTCCTGCTCTGTTTGTACCTACCTACCTGAATTCTCAAAGAATGTGTCGCTCAATGCCAAACAGAATATTTCAAGGCTTGCTTAATATAATGGAAATATAGATTATCATAGGTCATTGTCAATATGGATTTAGCATTATTTTGATTGAAATTGATTATCTTTTCAGCATGTGCCTAATGAAATCTACTGGTACTACACTATAGAACTGGGATTCTACTGGAACCTAGTGTTTACTATATTATCTGATCACAAGAGGAAGGACTTTGTAGAAATGGTGGTCCATCATGTTGTCACCATTAATCTGGTCTACTTTTCCTTTGCCTGTAATCAGATCCGTGTTGGCACGTTGGTCCTGCTTGTCCATGATGCAGTGGACTTCTGGATGGCAGTATGTAAAATTACAATATTAGTTATGAAATCTAAGCTAATGGATTCTGTCTATATTATTTAGGCTCACCTGGATCAAAAACATACACAAAGATATATATTTCAAAACTTGCTGGAATAAGAGAAGGTTACTGATTTTGTTGGCTGTTAACTCTAAATTCACCAATCTATACCATGAGAAGATCAACAGATAAAAAGTTCTGTGTATTATACTATAAGTATTGTGAACAGAATTTATCCATAAAATCAAGTGACAAGAAAAATGTTTGGAAAACCATCAAATTTGACCCCAACAAAATATATGACTTAACAGTATTGTATGTGTACAAATATGTATTTCAGAAAAGGCGGTGTTAAAGATAAATGTATACCATCAATAGCGATGTGATGATATGACTGACATACATTGTACATCTGGTATAAAGAGGACTTCTAATTTCAGGCTGCAAAAATGGCTATTTATTTGAAGAAACCCAAAGTAGCAGACAGTCTGTTTGTAATTTTCCTAATTGTTTGGTTTTTCACCAGGCTGTATATCTACCCGTTCAGGTAAGAGAGTCTGATCATACAGGCAAATGTCAATGTAGAATAATCCATGTTCAGTAATAAAGTCTGCACCCACAGAATAACATGACTTTATATACTCAGAATATTTATATTACTACTCATAGGCTTATAATGTAAATATATGCCTATTATGAGCACTCATGTGTAATATGGAGGGTTTGGGGAAAAAAATCTAAAAATAAAAATAAAAACAAAACTGAATATTTACAGAGTAAATTTTGCCTCCTAGTTCACTTTTCATATTTTGACCTCAAACCAACGTTGAAAGAAATGTTGGTGGTCATCAGAAATGAAAAATATGCGTTTTTGTTGGTCCTTAATTTCAAGGATAGATCTTAATATTCACAAAATCCACTTAGTACTACATAAAAGTGTCAAATTTAATCTGTTTATAGTTTCATTGACATATAAATTCCTGAAGTAATAATTCATCAAAAATAAAACTCTCACAAAAATGAATGATTATACAGTATGTCTTACAGACATCTTCTAGTTATATTTCCATTACAGGATACTATGGTCTGCAACTTTCCAATCCCCTCAATATGTGGAGTCTGCAAAGGAATACCCAGTCTACTGGATTCTCAATGGTTTGCTTTGGGTTCTCCAAGTTCTCCACATCATTTGGACCTACATGATACTACGCATGGTGGTAGACAAACTAGTCGGCAAAGAAGTAAGATTCTTTGCAATGGTTGAAAAATACATCTTACTGGTTAAAAGAGTTCTTCTCAAATTTATTCTGGCAAAACAACAAGGGTTTATATGACCAACACTTGTAAAATGAAATTTTCTGTTTTGTTTTAAATTGCTTATCAAGATCAAAATGTTTCTTTTGAACATTTTTGATAGATAATAGTAACCACATTCCAATACCAAACGTACAATATTCTCCAAATTTCTTACAATGTGTTGATGTATACATTGGTATACTAAGTCTAGAACATTTCACTATTTTTTTTTCACTCTCACTTAAAACTATTTATTTGCATTCAGTGTTAAATTTGCCTTCCATATATCAAATTATTATTGGTCAAATGACAAAATGGTTGAAAGTTAACTACACAAAAGTTTACAAATATACATTTACGTACAAATGTTTTATAAAAATACACTGAAGTCTAATTATATGTAAACAGACCATGTATTCTGTATTTCCTGTTGCAGCTGAAAGATGTAAGAAGTGACACAGAATCGTCCACTGGTGGAGAGGATGATGTAATCAAAGAAACAGAACCTATTACCAATGGTTCCTCTCCATCATTAAGGAAACATCCCGTGTCTGAAAATGGGAAATCCTAGGGACAGTGGATGCAAAGTGCCAAGGGAAGCAACTCTGTCATTACTGTACTAGCATGCTTTCTACAAGCTCATCTGACATGGAGAATGCATTTATGATTGGTTAATGTTTAAGGTTGTATTTTGTGAAAATAACTTTCCTAACTAAACTTTTCAAATAGTTATTTTATAAACATTGTACCATTGTGAAAAAGAACAAATTGTAAACATAATTGTGAAATTTGTAATTAAGGTTGTATTTTGTGAAAATAACTTTCCTAACAAAACTTTTCAACTATCTGTTTTATAAACATTGCACCCATGTGAAAAAGAACATATTGTAAATGTAATCTTGCATGTAAGTAATTTATATTTTGATGACATAAGAGTTTAAATGATATGAAAATAACTGTGCTCAGTGTTGTTTATGCATAAGAATCTTGTTATTCGAAAAATTTTTAGAATAGGTATAACAGTGTAAATTAGGAAAGGGTCATTTGACTTTGTTGATTTTTTATTGTCAGGCACATGATGATATAAAGTATTTGAAGATATAACAAGTTTTATCAAATTTATAACAAAACACATAGTTAAATAATGAATTTGAGAATTTTCTATCAGAGAAACTAACGTTTAGTCAAGCAAAAGAGTATATTTGTATACGTAGAGTTTAGATCTGTAAATATCAAAACAGATGATACAATACTATGTTAATTATGATGAGGATGAAGTGTGGCATTATATAGCTGATATAGATAGTGTTAGGTCTGAGCGTTGAAGAAATATCTACGGGTAATAGAAGTTAGTAAAATAAAAAAAAATTTCCTGTGACAGTGTAATATTTTCATATTTTGTAGGACTATAATAGATACATATTAATTAAAGGCAATATTTTTGAAACCTGTGTTTCTATAAATTATATTTATCTTGTTGTTTAAGCATAAATAATATTTTTGACACTGTTGATGGGCTTTTTGTGCTCGAGGTTTGCTGTAACCTGCATGCCACATTTCGATTCATTCGAATAGTTGCACAGTTGACAATATACGCATTTACTTGATGTTATTCTGATTCATCTGATGTATGAAAATTACAAAATTCATTGAATAATGGGGCTAGTGCACCTCCCTTTTTAGATTTTGACTTCTCTTTCATTTTGTTTTCATTTTCTGCTATTGCCTCTTAGGCTTTAAAATTTAGGTCTTTAGCATCACTGAGGAGTCCTAGAAGGAAAAACAGTTGTATGATGCAGTTTAATTCATTGTTTGGCTTTACTGTTTCTTACTGTAAAGTTTTATTAAAAGGTGCTATTCACTTGAGTCTCTTTTGTACAATCTTTCATATTATTGTCTGCATACAAAAATACTTCTGTAAATGAAAATATATTTTAAATCAAACTTTGAAATATTTTTGTAACAGATGATTTTAGTCTTATAAATGAAACTAAGTTATTTGATAGTCATTTTATTTCTACTTCAGTTTCATAGCTGAAATGTAAACAAATTATCTTCCAAGAAAATTGTTTAAACATAATAGAATATATATTGTATGATATTCTTGTACATGGCAACATGATAGCATCATCCTGAACAGATCTGTTGACTTGTAAAGGTGTGTTGATTAAGTTTAACTTTAATTACATAAATACTGTTTGGTTTGAATATTTGGACTGAAGTTAACTTATGCGGACACTGCCTGCTGCACGCTAGCCTAAGATTCCTCAAGCTCCTACATCAGACATTTAAATTTTTTAACAGAAAGATATCCAGCCTGATCCAGACTAAGCATCTGTCTGATGTAGAAGGAAACTGTAGTTAGCTCTACTTGTTGGAAGAAATAAACTATTTTGTATATTTTATTTTAGATTATAACAATAACACTAGAAATTATTATCAGTACAGTGAAGGCAAAGAAATGGTGGTATTTATCAGACCATTCAGAGATCATGGTAATGACTCATGTCTGTATCTTTGTTACATTCCAGTGACCTGCCTATGTACCTTAATGACAAATATCAAAGATTTCACATGTCCTGCATTACTTGTATATAATGCACATGAGATAGTTCCACTGCATATTTCCATTAGTTCATGCACATCAATGATAAAACATGCAGTAAAAGAATATTTAGAGAAATAGGAGTGTATCTGTTTTTCCATGAGAGTAAACTAATCTATGATTAGAAAGATCCGTGATTCAACACGTTACAAAAGAAAACAATTCTGTGTTCAAACTTCACATAGTCTACAAGTCATCTTTTGAATATTCATATTCATTAAAGATAACAAGTCTTGGTAGGCTGATGTCTCCTCTGTTGAAAATTAGTATGTCACAACATCTGAAATTTATTTTTATGATGCATACATTTAAAATCTGATGCTTCCATGTATTGAGTGATGTACCTTTCATTTACTGTAAAGATTGTGATTTTTGAGTGATTCTGTTGTCAGTGTTTGTGGTTGATGGAATAGAAAACCTGTTTTACTGTAATAGACATTTGACTTTTTTAGAGAGCTTGATATGTATATCTTTATCAATTACATGTGTCATATCCATGCCAAAACATCGGGTGCAAAACCCACCATCTCTGCATGGTGATTGTACAGTTAATATTGTGCAGCATTTGAATTATGTATATTTAACTAAAGTAAATTATTATTCCATATACAATTCCACATATACATTTATAATATATGTATATACATAATATTTATAATAATGTGCCATTATATTATTTATATTTTATTCTAGCAGGGATGGTTACATTTCTTTATATCTTTTTTTATCATAATTGCAATAATTATTTGTAATGTGTACCTTTTTCTAATTAGCTGTGGAATTGGTTTTTATCGTTAATTAGGAAAGCCAATTATCACCCCAAAAAATTTGATTATGAGTTAATATTTTGTATAAAAACAAAAAAGGCAGTATGAATTGCTGGAAAACATTATCATTCCTTGACATGTCTTGCCAGTATAAATGCTTAAAATGTTTTAATTTTGATGAATTTTAAAAGACTACAAGTTACATAAATGTTCATTGCATATTTATTGGAAAAAAAATAGGTTTAGATTTTTATGGGTATTTTTTTATTTCAATGCTTTATTATCAGTTTTAATTCTTGAATTAGGAGCATGTGCACTATATGTATGATATGGTGTAGGATTTGTCTTTGTTTTAATTGAAAATAATAGGGAAATTAATGGCTTTGTCTTAAAGGTCATTGGACCTTAATGGTTATGCATGAAGTAGTGATACCATTGCTGCGTTAATTTGAATGGTAAATTGGTTTCTTTATCATTAGCTTTCGATAGATTGAAATAAACACCACAATTTGAAATGAAAAATGAAATTCATACTTCACATAGAAACAAACTTAACAATTAGTGCAATCATGTTTTAATATACTTATGTTTATTCTGTTATAGTTTTAACTGCTCTTACTATGTCTTGATAATATAGAAAAGATTTAGAAAAATTCACCAGGAAACCTTGCCAATAGCTTCTGTTGAAACATTCATAGAGTTTACCTGCTTGATATCTTACCTTGTTTACATTGTGTAAATATTTCATTGTTATATACCATTGGTTCTGTTAACATGTTCTATGGCATAAAAGTTTTGTAAATGTGCCATATTTTTGGAAGATTTTTACTACTTTTATGCCTTTGTTACCTCCATACATCATATTATATGTTTTAATATGCAATATAGTCTCTATAAATCACCTAAACATATTTTACCCAATTTTTTGTTTCCATCAATGTGTACATTTACAAACAGTAAAACACATAATGCCCTTCTCTTCTTTACAAATATGATCCTTGCCATCAGTTTATGGACTTTTTCTTGCATTTACCCGAATGTATTTTACAAATCTTTTATGATACCAGCATGTTCTGTTAGGTAATCTTAAAATCACATGTATCAGTTTTTTTTTAATATTTTTTATTATGTTTATTTCTTTTTTTTTTTTTCATCAGTCTTGAAGCTGCAGATCAAAGAAAATGATAATTATCTCTAATTTTAGTCTGGTTATTGGTATATTTTAAAATCACTGTCCTTGATTATTAAATAATATTTGAATCATTTTATCTCGCTTCTCTTTGCAATTTTCAACACACTCTGTTGAGTTTAATTTTTATCATTTAACTGTTTCCTTTCGAATGTCACATTATACTTGTAATTGAATTTTATTATCTGTTTTCATCACATTGATTCTAGTTTGAATTCACCAGTGTTAAAATGAGTGATTGTGTTTTGTTTTAAAATATGTTATCAGAGAAGAATAATCTTGTTGGGTTTATCTCCCCTTGACAAGGTGTGATGACCAGCAGTTATAACATGTTTACAGGTATACTTTGACAGTAATGTTTATTTAATCATCAATGAAAATCAGTGAAATACAAAATTGGTTGTTGTTTACACATTATAGATGAAACAGGAATTAGTAGTGAATAGTTTACCTGATACATTATATGAACTCGTTAGTGATTCTTCATTTATTGTGTAAAAATTTTGGGTGCAATAGTGGTTTTTAATTGTTAGTTCATTGTTAGCAAATGGACACCTTTGAATGGATTGTCGAATATTAGTCATTATTATCGGAACTGCAATATTGTTAGTGTGTTATTAGTAAAATTGTAACTCTATGCTCAATATACAATGTAAGTGAAGAAAGTCATTGTTTTTGAATAGTTCACATTTTTTGGATTAAGTTTACTTTAGTGTATTATAATAAAAGGATAAATTTTAAATTGTTTGTATATTCTATCAGAAATACTAGTTTTGAATTGTTTGCAATTATGATTGAAATTGCAATATTGTATTATAACTACATTATTGATGAAATGGTAAATTCCCCATAGTGACAGATGTTTGGTAGTAAATTCCCCATAGTGACAGATGCTTAGTAGTAAATTCCCCCTAGTGACAGATGTTGGGTAGTAAACTCCCCCTAGTGACAGATGTTTGGTAGTAAATTCCCCATAGTGACAGATGTTTGGTAGTAAACTCCCCCTAGTG